GAAGCCGGTACCACCAGACTGAGATGGTTACAAATACCTTCATGAAAGTTCATTGATTCAAGGCCTCTAAAAGCAGCGGCAAGATCCACACGACCTTGCCAGTTTAATCTTTTGGCTTCTTCTACTTTGAGTCCATTATCACTCGAGAAAAAGTGGACTTTGGAATATAGTGGAACACTCCATGGCGACGACAAGGGACCACTTTTCTTGTAGCCATGAATCACTTGACGACCAAGCTTGACCAAGTCCTTCGCTCTGAACATGGCTTATCTCAAGCTCTCGGAGCACCAATATGCCAACTAGAAAAGAAAAATGGAATGCTTTCCCACTAGACTTAGCTAGGAACTTATAAGGGGGTTGAACCGTGTAACACTATTTACAAATACTGGGGAAATAGAAAACGCGTGTGCGTGCTGTGTACAGCCTCAATATTCAATCTACGTTTACTTTTAGTCAAACCAGTTCGACCGGTTTGATAAGAGAGCGAACGAGAGCAAACAAATCTTTTCTATAAGCCACGTTTTGCGTGCCTTTAGGAATGCGGTTGACTACCGGTTGATGTTTGTTAGCGGGATCATGACATGTTTTTTCCCAGCGTTACCACACTACGGTGGKTTCTGTAGTGGATTTCGCTCAAGATCCAGGCCTGATTTGAAATTTACAAGCTCCATTTCATTTTCGTAAGTTTCAAAACAAAATTGAAATCAAATTAAATWTTCAAACTTCGATAGGAACGCATGACCAGTTCTCACATAGTACTCGATGTTTGTTGATCAAGTTATTATAATCTAACCTTGGGCATATGGTAAATATGCTCTCTTTTGGCTACGCTCCAGGTCCGTAAAATGATTTGGCTGGTAAAGAATAAYAAAATACAGGTATGGCATTATCTAAAACTGACCTCATGCAACTATTACGGGTGGATTTGCTGGTAGAGACTTTTATTGGAAGGCCAAAAGCAACTTCTACAACTGAACTCCACTACTAACTAACTGAAAGAAGATATAACTAGCTAAAAACTAGTCTGAGCTGCGTCGGTGTTTCTAATGAAACAGTAATGATGAAAAGGTAAATTATACACCGTGAAAAGATGAAAAAAACTTACTGACGTTTCGGACGCTAGTCCTTCCAGTAAAAGAGAAAGGGGTGGTAGAAAGGAGTGTATATATGATAGAATAAGACAAAAGAAACCA